ACCAGTTTCATATAGAGGTATTCCATTCATGGACTATTTTGCTGCAATATCTTCCCACCTTCACACCCGTTGGCAACAACGTTGGTCTACTGTGATCAGTAACAAACTTCAATCCATTAAACCGAGTATAGGTTACTGGCCGTCTTCTTATCACCAGTGTCGAGGTTGGGAGACTACTCTCTCCCTTCTTCGCATTGGCCATACTCGTCTTACTCATGGATATCTCATGGAGAAGCGCCCTGCTCCTCTCTGTGAGAATTGCCAGGCTCCATTATCAGTCAGCCACATTCTGTTGGACTGCCCACTTTATCAATGAGCGCGCAGAATTTACCTCCGTCGTTGTCTTCGCTCCGCTGCTCTCTCTTTACCTTCCCTTCTCGCTGATGGACCCACCTTTCAACCGGACTCTCTCATTGACTTTTTGACAACAACTGACTGACTTCACAAATTCTGATACCTTCATCCCTTTCTACCTCAATCTCTTGCTACCCTCTACCCCCGTACTATCCCCTGCACCGCTGTTTTCTGTAACCTACTGATCATCCTTCCTCCCTTCTGCCGCCCAATACCCTCGCTTCCTTCCCTACCCTGCAGTGCTGTATAGCCCTTGTGGCTTAGTGCTTCTTTTTGATTATAATAATTTGTAATTAAAAATCCTGTTTCCCAAGAGTTTATAGGAATTTCACTCCTGCTTTCAAAGCTGGAGTAAACATTTCCTGTGATGAAAAGAAAATTGGAATTTCACTCCATCTTTGAAAATTGACTTGTTTAACTATGGTATTGCAACCCCTGAATGGGTCACAATGTATATATTGTATATTACCTGTTCATGTTATTGTGTATTTCTGATATTTGCGATATTAGCTAAATCGTAAATGTATTGCTTTATATTATTATTTGACTTAGCTATATTATTAGGTAGGATGTAACATTTAAACATTATTCAGTGCTCATTGTTCGAGAGTGTCGAGTAGCTGCCCACATTGGCAAACTACCTTGATAACTACTGCCTCGCTAGTTTCCCTGCTGGCTTCTCTGTAGTTGCTGGGCAGGAGCAGTCCACGGAGTCATGTGACCAGGTTGGAGTGATCACACCTCACCTGAGTGAGGAGACTGACTTGCCGATCGCTCTCTTTGGTTAGTGCTGGTTCCAACACCTCCCTCTCCAGCTCTCCCTTGTTGGAACTTCATTTCTGTCGCTCTCTTGTTGTTAGTTCTGTGTAACTCTGTTCACAGAGCATAGCCTAGACTTAGTGATTTTCGACGTTTTACTGAGGTTGTGTGTCGCACTGACACTGAGAAACTCAGGTCCTGAACTGTGCTTGTGACCTAATTTGTACTGGTATCTGTGCACCGTCACAGTCGGGGATTTTCTTATGCTGAACTTAGATTCAGTAGTATGGGAGTTTTGTGACTTTTGTAGAGGATCTGCAGATGGTCCCTACCTAGGGTCGTTATGTTATCTCCTTGCTCCTGACTCTGAGTTGCTGCTGCTCATTATACTGCTGTTCAGCGAATCGGTCGTCTTACTGTTCAAGCAAGCTGTTCTGATTGCCAGGTTGGTCAAGAAATTAGTTTAAGTGAGGACTTTTAGTCAGTCACTGGTTGAGTCGAGTCTTGAGGCATAGTGAACTACTTAGAGCACTTACTCACACGTACTTGTATATATTAGTATCATGTTCTTAAATGCTGACAGTGTACCAGACGGTACATAAATGCCATAATGATATAATATGTGCCTTTAGCACAATACTGCTATATGAGAGAAATGTACGAACTTATATCCTATATTACAGTGGAACCTCAAATTTCGAACGTATCACTTATCAACCTCTTCGCATTTCGACTGCTTTTTTTGAACCAACTTTCCCCTTCTTTCGAACCGCAGGGTACCCGACCTGTCCGCCAGCCCGCTTTGTCCGCATCCCCGTGCAGGCGCTGTGAGTCAGTCTGGCTTTGTTGATGCTTGAGTGAACACTAACCTGCGGTCTCATTCAAACATTTTATGATTAATTCATTGTGTTTAGTGCTTGTGGGACTGTGAAATAAGCTACCATGGGCCCGAAAAAACTTGCCAGTGGTACCCCTTTGGTAAAGAAAGTGAGAAACACCTTAGATGTGAAGAAGGAAATAATACAGAAGTATGAGAGTGGGTCCATGAAGTGCACTGAAGTGCCTCCTGTTAATGGACAATGCTCCTGCTCATCCTCCAAGCTTAGTAGATCTCTTGTCTTGGGACTTCAGTTTTATAACAGTGAAGTTCTTGCCTCCTAACACCACTCCTCTCCTCCAGTCCATGGACCAGCAGGTCATTTCTAACTTCAAAAAACTCTACATACACCAAAGCACTTTTCAAACATTGCTTTTAAGTGACCACAGACACTTGAGGAATCCAGTATCTACAGCTCCATCAGCCTTATAGGTAAGGCTTGGGAGGGAGTGACTTCCAGGACTTTGAACTCTGGAGACAATTGTGGCCAGATTGTGTCCAAAAGAAGGATTTTGAAGAGGCTAACCCTGACCCAGCTGACCCTCTGCCTGTTGTGGGGCTGGAGGTGAGTGGTGAATATGTGGAAGAGTTAGTGGAGGACCACAGGGAAGAGCTAACCACTGAAGAGCTGAAAGAGCTTCATCTGGGACAGAATCACACCACAGCTCAGGAACTTGCTTCAGAGGAGGAGGAAGAGGGAGTGGATGAGGCCTTCAAAGATTAAGGAGATTTGTGCCAAGTGGAATAATGTCTAGATGTTTGTGGAAAAGTACCACCCTGAGCAAGCTGAAACAAGCCATCTTTGCAACAAGTTCAGCGACAGAACCATGTCCCATCTTAGGGAAATCTTAAGAGGCACCAGAAACAGAGGACTGTGGACAGTTATTTTGAGACAGGGGTCCAGTGACACTCAAGCTGGTCCTAGTGGTAGTAAAAGAGAAAGGAAGTAACCCCAGAGAGGACTTTGATACCTAAAGTCCTTATGGAGGGGGATTCCCCTTCCAAACACTAACTCTAACTCCTTATCTTCCGGATGCCCTCGCCAATCTTCAATAACGTTAAGTAAAAATGTTATTTTATGTTTATTTAAATTTATTAATTGCACACTATGTTGTATGTGAAACTGTAATGTAATACTATCTATAAAATGTAGTTTTTTATGAATATTTTTGGGTTTCTGGAACAGATTAATTGTATTTCCATTATTTCTTATGGGAAATATTGCGTGGTCTTTCAAACTTTTCGACTTCAGAACTAGCTCCTGGAACGGATTAAGTTCGAAATTTGAGGTTCCACTGTATATTAAATTAATTTACTTTGATATTGTCCACCTAGACAACTTTATTAATAAACTTCTTAAATTTTAATTTCTTTAGTAGCCTACCAGTTGTAATCCTGAAGTGCTATTGAATCTTACTATTAAATTGTAATGGGTAATTGGACCAGGATACCTACTACTTGTTACAAAAACCCAGTAATACAGGCTGAATGGTAGAGGAGCAGACCTAGTATTCACTGGAGATCTCTATGCTTATTAGATATCGCATTTTTTGTAACATATGCCTTGATGCTGGTGAGGGGCTCTTGATCTAGGGAACTGGATCTGTGCTCCAGTTCCTGAATTAAGTCTGAATACGTTCCATCCCTCCCCCAAGCACTGTATAATCCTATGGGTTTAGTGCTTCCCCCTTGATTATAATTGTAACATGGTTTCTCTAAATTTTCTTTGATTAAACAGTTTTATGCGATTCAGAAAAAGTGATGCTGTATAGTCCTTGTGGCTTAGCGCTTCTTTTTGATTATAATAATCAGAAAAAGTGATTTTCACTCCAACTGTCAAGACTGAATAATTCCCCCCATACATTCACTCCATTTTCTTTGATAAAATATTCCCATTTTCTATGATGAAGGGAAAACTCTCTGGGAATTTCACTCCAGCTTTCAAGACGTAGTAGTTCCCCCTACATTCACTCCATTTTCTTTGATAAAATATTTCCATTTTCTATGATGAAGGGAAAAAAACTATGGGAATTTCACTCCAACTTTCAAGACGTAATAGTTCCCCCTACATTCACTCCATTTTCTTTGATAAAATATTTCCCATTTTCTATGATGAAGGAAAAAACTATGGAATTTCACTCCAACTTTCAAGACGTAATAGTTCCCCCTACATTCACTCCATTTTCTTTGATAAAATATTTCCCATTTTCTATGATGAAGGGAAAAAACTATGGGAATTTCACTCCAACTTTCAAGACGTAATAGTTCCCCCTACATTCACTCCATTTTCTTTGATAAAATATTTCCCATTTTCTATGATGAAGGGAAAACTCTATGGGAATTTCACTCCAACTTTCAAGACGTAATAGTTCCCCCTACATTCACTCCATTTTCTTTGATAAAATATTTCCCATTTTCTATGATGAAGGGAAAACTCTATGGGAATTTCACTCCAACTTTCAAGACGTAATAGTTCCCCCTACATTCACTCCATTTTCTTTGATAAAATATTTCCCATTTTCTATGATGAAGGGAAAACTCTATGGGAATTTCACTCCAACTTTCAAGACTTAATAGTTCCCCCTACATTCACTCCATTTTCTATGATGAAGGGAAAACTCTATGGGAATTTCACTCCAACTTTCAAGACGTAATAGTTCCCCCTACATTCACGCCATTTTCTTTGATAAAATATTTCCCATTTTCTATGATGAAGGGAAAACTCTATGGGAATTTCACTCCAACTTTCAAGACGTAATAGTTCCCCCTACATTCACTCCATTTTCTTTGATAAAATATTTCCCATTTTCTGATAGAAAAACTATGGGAATTTCACTCCAACTTTCAAGACATAATAGTCCCCCCTACATTCACTCCATTTTCCATGGTAAAGGAATAACACTATGGGAAATTCATACCAGACTTAAAAAAAAAATAGTATTTCTCTTATACATTTACTACAATTCCTTTAATTAAACACTTTCAGAATTTAAATTAAAAATACTTGAAATGTCTTGTACAAAAATTTATTAAAATATTTAACGTATTTTTTTCTAAAAAGTGTCCTATACACACAAAAAATTCAGTCATATAATAAAGCACTAAACCCATAAGGGTTATACAACCCAGGTACATATACATCAAACTGTTAAGTTTGTGAACACTGGGCAGCACATTTGATAAACTAATGAATACTGATAATCCAAGTATGCTCATTCAACATTTAAAAAAAATCACAATTAAAGAATTTATATATACTGTTTCAAACAGTATACATGCTATTTTAATTAGTATATTATACTAAGAATACAAATTAAAACAGCACTGCCTTATAGAAAACTTGTTCCTTACAAACTAGGAGATATAGGTATCTTATTTAGAAAAGGCAATAAGTTTGAAATTGTTTGTGGCATTCTTTCACAGCCTTCATCTGTGCACCAGTAACCATAAGGGCAGCAAGTCTCCAAGTCACCACAGCATGTGGCCTGGTGGAAAGACAATAGTTGTAGCTATTAATCATTTACAAATTTCAATACAGTATTAAAAATGTTAATGTAAAATGTAGTGTTTAAATCTACTTTCAAGTATCATTTCCCTTGGTAAGACTAATTAGTACTGTCAATAAGTCAATGGTGGTGGCAGTATCAGAAGTTGACACACCTGTGGATGGTGGATCAAACCATCACCACAGATTGAGATAAGGAATTACCAAGTGAAATTTAACTTCCATTAATAAGAGTGACATTGCTTTCAAAGATTAATTGTATATATTCACTGATAAAAGTTGATAAAGCTAAATTGGTTATCTATGCCTTCAATAATAATCTTACCATATTAGGTTTCCTAAGGCTTTTTTCAAGTGAACTGACTATACAGTAGGGCCCCACTTATATGGCAGGTTAGGTTCCAGGCTACTGCCTTAAAGCAGAAGGCCATTTGTTTATGTCAATTTATACTAACATATATTAAGTTAGCAATAAAACAAGGCATTAAAAACACAAAAAGTAAAATACACACACAGTACACTCATTACTTACCTCAAAATATTTGTAGTCTTAATGTAGGGCGAGAAGTGAGTAGCATTTATTGTAAGAAGTTACGTGTGGCAGGTATGGTAGCCAGCCAGGCCTGGCCACCCCACCCACATGTAATATACTTTGAGATTTAAAGAGCCCTAGACCGATAAAATGTATATAGTGTACACTCATTACTTATCTTAAAATATTTTAAAGTCTTAAGGGTCTTAACCTAAGGTGCAAGGTGAATAGTAGGGTAGGTAGGTACCGAACAGTGTGGTAGGTATCGTAACCCCGTCTGGCCACCCCACCCACACATATACTAGGCCAAGTGCCCTAGGGCGATAAAATGCACATACTGTACAGTACACTCATTACTTACCTTAAAATATTTGTAGTCTTAAAGTAGGAAAGAGGTGAATAAACAAGAGAGAGAACAAGTTCATGAGGATAGACCCAAGTTATGTAATACTACCCAAACTCAGCAAGCCGACTACAAAAATATCTCATATTTATGTTAATTTATTATATTGTAAGTATACTTGTGTTTATATGTTACAGTAGCCTGTTTATTATATACAGTAGGGCACCATGGCATTCCGCTAATTCGGCAATCTCAAATTATGACCAAAATTTTCTATACAGGAAGCAAGCAGTCTTTCAATACAGCTTGCCCCACCCAGTTTGTTTACATTCTCCATGAGCACATCTCTCTATTAAGTAATAATAATCACTCTTGGGCACATTAAATGTCTAATTTTACATCAATATAGTAATTTTCATTAATCCATGATATTTTCTTTAAAATTATACATAGCATATATACATGCTGTTTATATGCTATGGAGGGGTGGTTGCCGGGTAGAGGGAAAACATTACGTAATACTAATAATAATCACTCTTGGGCACGGTTTATATACTATGGAGCTGTGGTAGCCAGGCGGAGGGAAAACATTAATTCACTCCCCTTAATACATAATGCTTTTGTTTACAATTCTCGGCATGAATTATTCATTACTCCTCCCTTTGTTTGTGATGGCATCAGTGAACATGGTATGTTGATGGTAATAATATGGCTCTGGGCCACATTAAATATCCTGTAGCTATGTAGCCCAGGCAGACTACATACCTACATTATTATTATAACTGATAATTATACTTATGCATACCTGTGCCTAAGTAAACTTACTGTTCTGGAATGCAGGTACACATTAAAATCACTAAGTGTGTCTTATTAGTCTTGAAGACGTCATATTAATAATGATGATAATAACACAATAATACTCTGAGGAGCATTAAATATCGTTTAAAACATTAGTATAGACATTTTGCTTAATCCATCTAAATAAGCCCCACAGTACAGGTCCGGAATCATTGGGACCTGTAGTGTGCCGGATTATTGAGTTTGCCGAATTACAGAGTGGTTAAGTTAGAATACATTTAATAAAATTAACCAACTTGACTTACACAGTTCATTGAACATCGGCAAAAATCAAACATTTCCGCTACTTTGAGCTCAATTTCAAGGTACTTTTCGTCATGAAAGCAATCAAAATCACGTCTATTTCTGTAATATATCTTCCATTATATCAACTGAGTCCAAAAAATGAGAATACAACCATAAAAACCATACGAAAATATACTGCAAAGAGGCGGCTAATGGCTGAGAAGTGAACTCCCTTATTTATCGTCCGTCATTTTTATTTTTGTTGTACGTTAAGAAGCATCTTTCCATCATACATTGCCCAAGTTTCGATGAGATAGCCCAACAAACAACCAAGAAAAAAAAATATTTACCAAAAATCATATATGGCAAGCCCAAGCCAGGTACTGGAAATAAGTCACTTTGTCTGACTTTTCTGGGTTATCCTAGGTTCTCTATACATACACTTTTTTTTTTTTTCATCACACTGGCCGATTCCCACCAAGGCAGGGTGGCCCGAAAAAGAAAAACTTTCACCATCATTCACTCCATCACTGTCTTGCCAGAAGGGTGCTTTACACTACAGCTTTTAAACTGCAACATTAACACCCCTCCTTCAGAGTGCAGGCACTGTACTTCCCATCTCCAGGACTCAAGTCCGGCCTGCCGGTTTCCCTGAACCCCTTCATAAATGTTACTTTGCTCACACTCCAACAGCACGTCAAGTATTAAAAACCATTCGTCTCCATTCACTCCTATCAAAACCGCTCACGCACGACTGCTGGAAGTCCAAGCCCTCGCACACAAAACCTCCTTTACCCCCCCTCCAACCTTTCCTAGGCCGACCCTACCCCGCCTTCCTTCCACTACAGACTGATACACTCTTGAAGTCATTCTGTTTCGCTCCATTCTCTTACATGTCCGAACCACCTCAACAACCCTTCCTCAGCCCTCTGGACAACAGTTTTGGTAATCCCGCACCTCCTCCTAACTTCCAAACTATGAATTCTCTGCATATATTCACACCACACATTGCCCTCAGACATGACATCTCCACTGCCTCCAGCCTTCTCCTCGCTGCAACATTCATACACCATGCTTCACACCCATATAAGAGTGTTGGTAAAACTATACCTCTCATACATTCCCCTCTTTGCCTCCAAGGACAAAGTTCTTTGTCTCCACAGACTCCTAAGTGCACCACTCACCCTTTTCCCCTCATCAATTCTATGATTCACCTCATCCTTCATAGACCCAACGCTGACACGTCCACTCCCAAATATTGAATACATTCACCTCCTCCATACTCTCTCCCTCCAATCTGATATCCAATCTTTCATCACCTATATTTTGTTATCCTCATAACTTTACTCTTTCCTGTATTCACTTTTAATTTTCTTCTTTTGCACACCCTACCAAATTCATCCACCAATCTCTGCAACTTCTCTTCAGAATCTCCCAGAGCACAGTGTCATCAGCAAAGAGCAACTGTGACAAACTCCACTTTATGTGTGATTCTTTATCTTTTAACTCCACGCCTCTTGTCAAGACCCTCACATTTACTTCTCTTACAAACCCCATTCTATAAATATATTAAACAACCACGGTGACATCACACACATCCTTGTCTAAGGCCTACTTTTACTGGGAAATAATTTCCCTCTTTCCTATGTACTCTAACTTGAGCCTCACTATCCTCGTAAAAACTCTTCACTGCTTTCAGTAACCTACCTCCTACACCTGCAACATCTGCCACATTGCCCCCCTATCCACCCTGTCATACGCCTTTTCCAAATCATAAATGCCACAAAGACCTCTTTAGCCTTATCTAAATACTGTTCACTTATATGTTTCACTGTAAACACCTGGTCCACACACCCCTACCTTTCCTAAAGCCTCCTTTTTTCATCTGCTATCCTATTCTCCGTCTTACTTTTAATTCTTTCAATAATAACTCTACCATACACTTTACCAGGTATACTCAACAGACTTATCCCCTATAATTTTTGCACTCTCTTTTGTCCCTTTGCCTTTATTACAAAGGAACTATGCATGCTCTCTGCCAATCCCTAGGTACCTTACCCTCTTCCATACATTTATTAAATAATTGCACCAACCACTCCAAAACTATATCCCCACCTGCTTTTAACATTTCTATCTTTATCCCATCAATCCCGGCTGCCTTACCCCCTTTCATTTTACCTACTGCCTCACGAACTTCCCCACACTCACAACTGGCTCTTCCTCACTCCTACAAGATGTTGTTCCTCCTTGCCTATACACGAAATCACAGCTTCCCTATCTTCATCAACATTTAACAATTCCTTAAATATTCCCTCCATCTTCCCAATACCTCTAACTCTCCATTTAATAACTCTCCTCTCCTATTTTTAACTGACAAATCCATTTGTTCTCTAGGCTTTCTTAACTTGTTAATCTCACTCCAAAACTTTTTCTTATTTTCAACAAAAATTTGTTGATAACATCTCACCTACTCTCTCATTCGCTCTCTTTTTACATTGCTTCACCACTCTCTTAACCTCTCTCTTTTTCTCCATATACTCTTCCCTCCTTGCATCACTTCTACTTTGTAAAAACTTTTCATATGCTATCTTTTTCTCCTTACTACTCTCTTCACATTATCATTCCACCAATCGCTCCTCTTCCTCCCGCACCCACTTTCCTGTAACTACAAACTTCTGCTGAACACTCTAACACTACATTTTTAAACCTACCCCATACCTCTTCGACCCCATTGCCTATGCTCTCATTAGCCCATCTATCTTCCAATAGCTGTTTATATCTTACCTAACTGCCTCCTCTTTTAGTTTATAAACCTTCACCTCTCTCTTCCCTGATGCTTCTATTCTCCTTGTATCCCATCTACCTTTTACTCTTAGTGTAGCTACAACTAGAAAGTGATCTGATATATCTGTGGCCCCTCTATAAACATGTACATCCTGAAGTCTACTCAACAGTCTTTTATCTACCAATACATAATCCAACAAACTACTGTCATTTCGCCCTACATCATATCTTGTATACT